TTTTATAAATCTCCCCAGAGTTGACCAAAGAGGCTGAGAACATAATCTTAGGAGCACCTGGAGAGACGGTTACATGGAAATGGAAATCGTGAGGGTGAATATAAAAGCTGACAGAATGATAAAGGGTCCCTGAATTATTGATTACTTAACTATAAATTTAGAAATGAACACTCAGAGATAGTAGATATTCTTCACAGTCTTATCATAATAAATGATTAAAGTAATTTGTCTTTTTAGATTTTAACAGAAATTCAAATACTGTTAAGTTCGATCATCTCACCTTCAGCACTGCTTTGTTTCAGCTTATCAATCTCCTCCTCTGTGGCCTTCTGTCTTTTTTGCAGGCCTGTACAAGTTTAAACAATGAATTAATGGCAACAATATATATGTGTGTATATATGTGGAATATATGTGGTGTAATAATTCATTATCATAATCTTGTGCCTTCATTCTCTTCCTTCGTCTGTCCACTTGCTTTTGCCTGGCCTCCAGATCTTTAGAATCATACCATCTTTCTACATATTTCAGTATCCTCCAATTTCTTTATTAACTTCACTCTATCTTTCAGCCACTCACTAATGTCCATGTCACCTCTCTGTCCGAACCCCGGCTCCGCAAAAAAGAGTCCCAGCAGAAGCAAAGCCCTGAATTCGATTTCCATCTTAAATTTGTAGTCTCTTGGATATTTTTCTCGCAGTTTGCAAATGGTTGGTTTTTCCTCAGTGGCTTATATACCTGCTCTCCACTGAGTAGGGTCCTCCAGCGTCAGTGCGTAAGCAAATGTTGAGGCCCTCAAGGGCCGCAGTTCTGGTCATGTCCCAACATGGCCTGTGAGTGAAGAATGTGACATACAAAGTGAAACATTTCTACACACTTTGTACAATGTAAACACAAGCATTTAATACCTACAGTAGTAACCTCACGTTACTTCCAATACCTAGGGTAGTAACCTCACCTTACTTCCAACCTTCTTGTTGAGTAGAAGGTTATATTATTATGATATATTAGAGAGTAGGGCAACGTAATTAGGTCTTAGCCAGGTGAATCTGGGCTTGCATTTGGCAAATTGTATCTTTATTTTTACAATTTTGTGTTAAATCACATGCATTTACTCATGCAGGTTGATGGGATTGCAAGTTGGGAGTATTTTCAGCAATATATAAAAATGTCTTACTCCAGTTCATGGATCTGTTGCACTGTGGCACTGATGTGCTTCAACATGGTTGTTTCCTGTAGGATGATTGCTCTGCTGAAGAGATTTGCCAAGAAGTGCCCCTGCAAAAACCTTCATATTCACTGTGAACAGTTGTACTGATACAGGAAGGGATCAGTCCACAATGACAGGCTATTGTTTCCAACACCTTGCACAAACCCAGGTTTTAGGTGTAGCTTTATTTTGAACAAACAAATTACAAAATATATCTAAATCACCATGTGCAGTATTACAAGAATCAGAATCATCTTTATTTGTCATTGTCACAAGTACAACGAAATTGCTATGTTTGTAATTGAATGTTCTACCTCTGGTGCCACTAGTGGTACTTTACAAGATTACGCCCCCACAATTTTGTCTTCTTACAAACACATGCTATAACATTTCACTCCACGGTAGACTGGTATTAAAAAGAAACAACAGCCCTAGAAATTTTACTGCAACGTGTGCATAAGACATAATAATAGACACTGAGTGGAATTCATCTTTTAAATATTAATGTAATGTTTGTGGCTATGTCCATGGCAGTATGATTCAAGAAAGAGATGGGAGAGATTATGTTTTATTTGAATGACTGCAAACCACAACATGCACTAATTTGACTTGTGTAATATTCTCGTAATAGGTCAAGTGAGGGCAGTGTTTGTTCTTCTGTGCTGTTTTGTTCATGTAAATGTGATGGTTTTTCCAGGAGCCTACCTGTGCCACACAGTGACTGCCCCAGTGCTCTGTACATGGCCTGGCTGGATACTCTGACCTGTGGCCTCCACTGCCCTGTGGTGCTTATATGAGGAAACAGAAGAACGTTCTCACTTACTACTGCCAAATAATGTTACAGCGATGGAGATTTTGAGACAGTAAATGAAAAAGATTACCCCCTGGAGCAAAGGGAAAATACAACATAAACCCAATAAGTGAAATAAGTTAAAAAGAATGTGTGCAAGGTGTGCAACTGGTGCCAATTGAGGGTTAACAAACTTGATAGAGTAAGCGCTCTTATAGACAGTGATGGAAGATAACACCATTGCAGTTACTTGTATGTTCATGATTATGTGGATACCAACACTATCATAGTCAATTTCCTTCAGCAACAACTGCCGGTGCAAGCTAATTCAATATGTTCCCTTTAAGTGGCTAGATTCTTTAAAACTGAATTAATCTGTATTATTTGTACAGACTGTGTTAATATGAATAATTAAATTACAACTATGCTAAAGGGAATGGACTTCTATTGTTGTCAACAATGAACAGTATTCCTGGCGATGATAAAGAAACCTCCGTATTTCAATATTCAAATGCTGATGTCAGTGTGGCAACCTGAATGTATTAACAGGGTCAACATGTATGTATGTACAGCCTAAAATAAGAATACAAGGCATTTTTAAACCTGTGATAAGATTATATAGACTGAATATTGACATGTAGATTATTCCAGTCGGACGGAGCTTTAAACATGACTTTTACCTAATAAATATCTGAAGTGGAATAGTGTTAATTTATCTCACATTAGCATTTCACCAGTTATAAGTAAAAAAACAACAACATTTCATGAGACTAAATGACTTTATAAGATGTGTATTTCCTTAAAACATACAGTATAGGGTGTATATGGTGATATAGGTATATTTATATATTATATATATATATTTTTATGAAACTAAATAACTTTCTCTGTTTATTCCACAGAAACAAATCAATCCGATAAAAAATTCCATTTGATTAACGATACGATGACCTGGTCAGAGGCTCAGAACTACTGTAGAGAACATCACACCGACCTGGTCAGTGGACTCAATCAGTTAAATGACACAAATTTCAAGAATGAAATTCAGACTGAGGAGAAGTTTTGGATCGGCCTGTTCAGAGACACCTGGAGGTGGTCAGATGGGAGTCATTTCTCTTTTAGAAACTGGGACTCTGAGTGTTTTAAAGATGACAACAGCAGAAAGTGTTGCGCAGTGATATGTTAAATGAAACTGGAAAATGGGGCTCTGATGATTGTAAGTACAACAAAAACCCTTCTTCTGCTCATGAAGGTGGAGTTTTACAAAGATCTGCAACTTGTGTTTCTCCTATAAGAGCAGCAGCACTGGAATCAGTCGGAAGATTTAGCTGAACTTAGATTATATATTCATTATTTATTATTTATTATTTATGATTTCTCTCAGTTTCTTTCAGTCTCTCCACATTTTTACCAAACATACAAGCAGTGATTTAAACTAGGAATCAGCTTTGAAAATCCATATTGGATCTCAGTGTTCCCAAAAATTAACTATAACAAAGCTGCTCACATGATCGTGTGTTTGTTTTGATTCCTTCCATGACAGATGAAGTGATCCTGATTAAAGAGAGTAAGACCTGGGAGGAGGCCTTAAATTACTGTACAGAGAACTACCGTGACCTGGTGTCCATCACTAACCGTCTGGCTAGGACTGCGCTACACCTGCTCTCTGGATTTGTGGTTCTGGGTCAGTGACAAGCTGGTCTGCTATGACAACTGGGACTCACCTGCAACCACTGATGATTGTGTCAGTGCTGCAGCCATGGACAAAGGACGACAGCATAAATGGTTCAAAAAAGCTGATACTGAAACGTTTAATTTCATCTGTGCTTTATAGATTGGTGCACTTATTCGTATTCTGAAGGAGGCAAGCAGGCAGGGAGGCTTCTTTTTCTTTCTCTTTGGTTTGGAGCGAGGTATCTGATACCAACTTTTTGCTACGCAGCTGAGGGTATCCGAGTATTGCCAGCAATACTTAAATACAATTTTGCCGATAATAAAAACACTGTATTTGGAAGCAGAAAACTTGAATACAACATGTAATACAAGTCTTATTCAGTCAGAATAGGTGAGTATTTTCATCATTATTCCTTGTCTCAATGAAGCATTTTATATATTATGCTTTGAATTGTTGGGCTAAAAATGTGTCGTTGCACTGCCTCTACGCGGCGAGTAAGCACTAAATAATAAGCACCAGTAAAGTAACAATATCAAAAAGACATTGCATCATTTGTTTGCAGAAACATTAAAACAAAGCTGATTTTTGGGTTTTGAACTGTATTGAAACTAAGAACGGTTCAGTCTCACCACTCATAGACATAGTTTGTATATATTTTTAGTAATAAGCAGTATTTTCTATTATTATACAGTGACAACAAATCTTTGTAGAATAGTCCTTTCAATCTGATTACAGCACCGCATTTAAACCCCTGCACAGCTGGACAAATACGTACTGCTGATATACACGCATGGGCGCTCAGTGGGCCAATCACTTGCACTTTTCACTTGCCAACAAGACAAACTGTGACATCGCTCAGTCAGAAGAGCACAGTTAATTAACATAAAATTGGCTGCAGGTCCATTAGTGGAAGCTGTTCTGGTATCACAGCTCTCGTTTTTACACGTTGAGGCTTGCTTCTGCATTATAATGAAATGCCTCCATAACACACCTTAAGAGAATAAACAGGCTTGCGTTGTATGGGCGTAGTTTAAGAAAGCGGGTCATATTCATGATCATCTTGAGCACCGGAAGACGTTTACAAAGACTGAACAGTGAAAGCAGACCATCCATGTGATAATCTGATCCCCCTCAGGAGTCCATCTGATCAGAGCATCCGACACAATGATGAACCAGACGTACACGCAAACAACATTGGACCTCAATTCTGACTATACACGCTCAGGGCGCTAGAGCACATTTCTCCCAGTCTGTAACCCTCTGCAGCATCAACATATCCTTGGAGGTGTCAATATATGTATTCATTATCATGGTTGCATTAACTACACAAGGATACCATTCATTCTTACAGAGAAATTGAGTCGAGCTTAACTCGTTGATTATGCAGCTCAGCTAAACTAAGTTCCTGATGCAGTTTATAGGTCTCAGTCTTAGTTTTGCAGTCTTGCTTCCATACAGCATGATGTTCATCTTAGCCAAGCTGATGTCCCATTTAGGGAGATAAAAATAGACCATAAAGCAGGAGTCGAAACTGGGGCAGACCTAATGAGAGCAGCTTCGCCAACGTCACCTCCGCTTGGCTCCACAACACCGTTAAATGGCGGTGACGACCATAACGGCAAACTGGAGGGCTTCAAAAGATAGTCTCCCAAAACCGGATGGTGACTAAATCTTCACATTGCTTCAGACTGCAGATCTCCTCAGATGTTGCATATTAATGTAGAAATAAGCTTTTAATCAACAAGCAACCCTCTTATCCTCATACCACAAAGCCTCATCGTACCCCTGCTGCTCCAGAATGAATGCTTGATACGCTATTCGGAGCACATTTGATCCCCTTTGTTACAGCGACAACTACAGCGTACAGACATCTGAGCACAATTTTCCACAAACCCCAGTGTACGGACCAGACCAACGGATTCTGATTTAATTATGCAATTACCTTCACTCTCCAGAGCTGTATGTTGGCCTTTCCATTCGTACCCCTGCAGAGGAAAGACCAGGAGACGCCATGCACGGCCATACCACATCCCAGCCGCCCACAGATGCCGGGAAGCAGTGCGTATTAGATGCCACGAAGGCAGACAGCATCCGACGCGTGGAGGCTGTGGGACGAAAATCAGGAGGCAGAAAAAGGCATTATGCACTGAGAACTATACAGCTCCATTGAGAACACTATTATGGATTATGTTTATACTTTAGGCCTACCATCTGATCCTAAATGTGTCCAACAATGTTCAAACTTAAAGAAATCTGTCACATTACACGGTAGCACTGCTTTTTACCGCATATTCCCTTTGTGTCTGCCCGTCAGCCATTTAGCGTGTGGTGTCTGCCCAGAAGCTGCATACATTGACTGTTGTATGCCAGCCTCTGCAAGCCACATTGTTACCATCCACTGTAGATCTTGGCGTGCTTTCTAACTCTAAGATTTGAACCGCCGATGAAGATTTTAGTCATCGGACATACTGCGATGCTTAAGTATCAAAGAAACAGCCGAGCTAACGTTAGCAGCGGCTCGGCTTGCCCAGGCCCCTCCGGACGTCCTTTGTCTTGTCCAACAGCGTGCGAGAAAGACAAAGTAGCTCAAAGTAAACGCACCCCAAACGTCCCAAATTAATAATAATCAATACAAATAACTAAATAAATAATAAATGAAGGATTTATCTGGTCACAGAAAGCGTTAATAAAACTCTGATACATGATGACTCACCCTCCACGTGTATCCCCCTTATTGCCAACGAAGTAGGCATGTTGATGATGTTGAAATGATGATAAGTGGGCGCCGCTTTGGAGCTCGTTGTGCCCTGGTAACAGATATTAGAATAATAAATGCACCATTCAGAAAGACATAAACATGGAGCGTGCATAAGAGCATATAAAGGTTAAACAACGATGGTAAGAACAGACCAGTCTGTATCATATAGAACTGTATACGAATTTTAGTCTAGTATAGCACAAAAAAAGAAATTAGTTGAGGCAAACTTGTTTTCCTAAGTGTTTAAACAAAAAGGAAATAAACTGAAAAAATCAAGAATCCAGATGGAAGACCTTTTTGTGATTTCTTAAGGCTACAACGAAGGATTATTTTCTTTCTTACATTAATCGTTTAATGTGCACATACGTCAAACATAAAGAATGTTGTGTTTGCCGACAAGAGTTCAAAATCCCAAAAGACATTGAAATTACAATCATGCTAAAACAAAGAAAAGGAAGAAAGCACCACAAGAAGAGAGCGAAACCAGTGAATTGAATGCTGTTTGTTGAAAACCCTAACAGAAACAATGTAAATTAATCATCAAAATAGTTGCTGACGATCGACTAAATTCAATTCATCAGCTCTTAGTTTGACAATTATTGGTTTTGTGAAAAAGTCTCTTACAGTGCTCATTATATAAGTCATTATCTTAACAGTTTCAGCATCATCGGTTAGACCTGCAACAACAGATAAATTAAAAATATAAAATACTAATATAAAGACTGATTTATACACTCAAAACGTTTCTAATTCCTGGGTAACAGCATATTAGAAAATAAATGACTGTATTTAGAAAAGCCATAAACATGGTTTGCATTAGAGGATGTCAATGGTATATTCTGCAGTTCTTTTATTGCTCTTCAAACCAGCGGTGAAGAAACCAGTCAGTTCAGACGGGTGTATCTTTAATAGCTCTTTTACATATTGGTTGCAACCTGATGCTCAGTATAATTAAAATATAGTACTTGGTCCTATTTGTCATTTTGACATGTATCCTCAATAGAAAAGCCCCAAATAATCCCTTGGATGCAAAAACGAATTTATATGTGTCTAAAAAGTAGAAAGAACTATAAAAGAAAGCGTGAAGATTTCTATCACAGAAACCATCGACAGAACAAATTTTTGTCCAGTCTGCACCCCATTTTCCCGGGCCCAGGTGCTTAAGGGCCAGACCGGGCACAGCACGCTGTTTGCACCCAAACATCCAGCCATAAAGACAAGAAAACTGCCACACCTGCCGACACCAAAGATAAGCGACTCCAATTAGCGTTTCAGCGTCAGCACTGAGTTCTCTTGGAGTAACCCTTCGGGTCAGCACGGAATTATAGCAACACATTACCGAAGTGAACTGGATGTTTATCGGGTCATCGAAGGGGAAGCAGCGTCTTCTGCAGATCCTGCACTGCTGTACGTACTGCTGCTCTGCTCCGCCCTCCATAATATCCTCAAAATGGAGCATTCGCTGTGTCGAGTATCCAGAACAATCACAGAGCGGAGCTGGGAAGTCTACCAGGAAATACAAACACAAGAAAAATGCGGCGTCCAAAGCTCCAAGTTTCACTGAAACATTGCCGTTGACTCTGGGAGGGTTACTGCTTTGTTTCACCTGTTGACATTACTGTACATGAGACAGCGCTCTACACACACAGGGGCCTACTAAGGTCAAAGTCTAAATTCCCCCCCAGCGTTGGCACCAAACCTCAAAGACATTTTTACATAACAACCCACAAGAAAAAAAGTTTAAAAAAAATCTTGTAATGTAATGTAATTTTAACCCTTAAGATCACATCCTCAGTTATGATTTCCCATCATGGTAACAAGTGTGCCAAAAAAGAAGTACAAAAACTACATTTATTTGCTATTTTGTATATCAAAATCAAATCATATTGCTTCCGTAAAAGCAAATGGACACATGCTTCAGGTAACCAACTTTATCAGTGATTTGGGTGAAACTGGATCATATTTTTAGGAGAGCATTTGGTCTGATGTTCCCTTGACGTTCCTCCGGCTGCTCTGCCTCCAACTGCGCCAACTGCCTCAATGCTAGCTGCCCTGCTAAGCCGACTGCAATTAGCCCCTGCAGTTCTCTGCATCCTCTGAGGACAGATGATGCCTGCTTGCCCCGAACAAAAAGTAAAACAAACTTAAGCAATACATCTTCCCAAAGGATGTTCTGTCTTTTAGAGTAGTTTGTTTTACCTGATTTATGTGTTTTAATAGCTTATTTGAAGCTATAAAAAGGGGTTGCCGACGTCATGATTGACAGCTGAGACCTGCTGACTGTGACGGTAGGTCTCCCATTGACATAACACAGTTGATGTTGCCTATAACAGCTTGCAGTGAATATTAAGTTAAGACCCAGTGAGTAGGTGACACCATGCAGCCTGTACCTGCAGCTTCG